CTTGACGAAGTACTAACAGTTCGCATGGGCCCAGGCTTAATAATGTTATGCTTATGTACGGTATTTATTTTCATGACGCTTGTGAGAGATTCCGTTTCTTACTTCAACTAAAATTTAATTAACCGTTAAAAATTACCCTAATTAAATTTTGATCTTTTTTACGATTGATTATTTCTCAACGGCTTTTTTCATCAAAATTTAATGTTGAGTTGATGGTAGGGTCCGTTCTCAACATTGAAAAATGACAACTTAAGGTTGAGTTCAATGACCCATGGGGTCAATTTGCAAGGGGTCAAAATAATGATACACGGCCTCTACGGCGTATTTTATCCAATAAAATATTATGGAATATTAAAAGAAGAAAAAACTATAACTTACAATGCTATGAATCACTGACAAGTGTTAGTTTTTATTTCTCCCCCCCCCCCCCCCCCATCAATTATGAATAATTTCAACTGAATATTGGATGATACATCACCATGAAGACAAAATTTGTTTGTCATTGAAAACGAAAGTAGAGTTAAATTTCCTACCTGTGTTCAACGGTCATACAAGTTGAGCAGCCAACATTATCATGATCGGGGCAGTAGACATCTATCAATTTTCCTCCATGTTTTTCACATCTTTGTCTTGGTAATTCTTGCTTTTTCCCGCTCGGTTGTTTCACCGTGTCAAGTAACTGATGACCTCTCATTGCTGAAAACTTATTGTGATCACCCAAACATTTTTGACAAAGGTTTTCATCACATTCCACACAGTGTTTGATAGCAGCTACATTCTTTCCTTCTTTAGTACACGGTAAACATGGGAAATCATGTTCTATGTCCGAACCTTGATACAAAGATTGGTTAAATTTACGCCCGTCTACGGCCATTTTAAATTAAGTTTTATAATTTCCTTGTTCCAGTTGCTACGTAAACACACGCATGATCGATATTCATATACATTTACCGTACTGTATAATAAGTTTATGTTATTCGGGGTTGAACAGTTTTGTTTCTTATAATTTACTCATCTGTAAAGGGAAGTATGCGCTTGGTTACTTTCATACAAGAGCAAAACATTACTAGATTTAGTATCAAAATTTGCAAAATGGATTGACCATACAAAGGATTTAATTTGTATTGAAATTTGATTACTATTAGAAGTTTGGTTACGTGTAAATAGCGGAAAAGCGAATGGTTAAATGTTTCAAAATTGTGATTTAAATGTTTTATTTGCTCGTTACGTGATCATTAATCAGTATATCTTTTCCGTTCGTAAACGAAACTGTTTGAGAATGCATGGGCCTGACTTTACGCCATCTGGACATGGGTTTGAATGGGGTTTCATTAAAGAATTCAAGTATCCACGGGCAAAAACGCATTAATTAATTTTACAAAAAAGCGCAATTCTTCAACTTTCATTTTTCATCACTTAGCTGTTTAGTATTACACAAAATAATAAAATTATAATTAAATATATGTAAGCAATCGTGTAGTCAATATAAATCTGCAAATGTTGAAACCAAATATCCCAATATTTTTTATAAATACTCGTAAGTATACAAAAATTCCCTATGACCAAGTGCACACTTTCTTTGAGCAACGATGCATATGAATGCATATATTCTATAATAATCGTGTTTATTTAGATTATTCAAGAAACTGTAAAAAATCGAACATTTTAAACGGCCACTGTCAACATAGACTCTAGGACGGTTGTGGAACCCATCATTTGTCGCACCAACATAATACATGTCATATGGCGAGTTTCCAGATTTACTCTAGGAGAAGACCTCAGATGCCCCTTCTTTGATTTTTTTAATTCAGGCACGAATGGACAACTGAGTAGAACCATCAACCTTCCGTCAGATAGCTGAATAGTTTCCTTACATGAAAGAATTCACTGTGGGAATTCAGACAAACAACGTTAAGGAACAAGTTGTACATTGCTCTCTGAATATTGATAATATAATTGCACAGATAGTCACTATTAGTTATATATAAACTTTCAAACTTTTATAGACGGCTTAGTGGGTTTTGCAGACCCTACCTTAACTGAACTTATTTTTGCATATCATAACGACCTTGTTATAATCATGTATTAAACATATGAAACTTTTTCTTTACTATTTTGCCAACCTTTAGAAAATACTAAATACTCTAAATTACCTCTCATTCAGATAATAAAAAAAAGATCATGAAAAAAATAAACTGAGCATGGTTGCAAAAGTAATGTAAAAATCGTATTGAATAATATGATCACATTTTTCAGCGATGCCAATAATAATTTTGATCTAGTTAATTGTTTGTAACATTATAATACATTCAAAAGTGCTATCTTTGTATGAAATATACACACATTTGAGATGCTTACAGGTTCAAACCCATAAATAAATGAATATACATTCCATATTCTGCTGTAGAAGTATACCTTTTCTTTTTTTGTGTAAAGTTACGAATTTACGAGTCATGTTCAAACTGGTAAATAAGGTTTCTTTTTATCAAGCATGATAATTATAATGACAGTTCAAAAAATGTATTATTTAGTAAATTGAGCGCGGCCAAACAACCGATTGATGCGACTTCAATTGGGGCAATTTGGCTCATTTCGACTAATGTACTGGCCGGAGCCGCCGAGTAGAAATACTCAATATCCACACTCTTAGCTTAGTAATAGCCCTAAGAATTCTAGAGTCATGAGAATATGTTGATAGACGACTTAGCCTACTATGTTTTAACATGTTTGTATTAACATTGTTGTTATTTATTTCAATGAACATTACCATTTATTCATTTTGTACTTCTAAATAGTTTCTCAGTTCATTCTAAAAAGTATAAAAATCAATTATTTGTTTTGCATAGTTTGATTCAGCAACGTTTTAAGATGGTTCACACATAAATGCAAATATTTTGATCACGGAGATCTCGCAAGGTGGTCGTGGAATGCATGTTCCCTCGTTTTCTGTTGTTTTGGTCTGTTTTCGAGACACACTACTAGTATTGGCCTCACACATCGATATTACAAATACATGTATATGTTTTTTGAAATGTCAGAATGTTTTAAATTAGTCACTTTGGTGACATGTTATAACGGTATTTGAGTAAAGCACAAAATCATATATGAAGGGCTGTAGAGATTGTGGAACAATGGGAGGCGGTCTCGTTCGCCGGCGCTCCGCACAAACCTTGTTGCTAAATAGAGGTATATTGTAGTGTACTGGTCAGCTAAACACGAAATGTTTAACACCCTTTTGAGACTGTTTACCGCGGCAATTGACAATCGCTTCATTTAAATTGACGGTAATTTGCCTTCCCAGAAAGCTGAGGCGGTCCATGATTACTTGCAGAGGGACGGTGTTAAGCGCATTGACGGGCCAGCTCGATCACTCAGCCTAAGTTCAAATAAGCACATGTGAAATGAGGTGTAGGTATGGGTATTTGTTCACCAGTTGCAGTCTAGGAGCATCCAGGAGCTTTGTCGTGTTTCTGTAGGCCGCCATCAATGACTGTCAGAATCGTTATAAGGAGCATGAGAAGGCGTTTCCAAGAGATTCTCGCTAAATCACAAACACGCTACTGAGTCTAAACTAGTAAATATAAACGAGTTTGTAAAAATTTGGAAAACCAAGTTGCGTGTCTAAAATCTTGGAATAGGGCATTTTACTTTTAGGCTTATCTGACACATGACTTATCCAAAATCAGTAAAACTGAAAATAGTGTCCTTCCTTAAATTTGATTAAACATGAAAATGACATTTAAAATTATTTGTTTGACGGTGCCTATTCAAGTTATTGCTAAAATTATTCACTCTTAATCATTTGGTTGCAAAAGTTGAGCAGTATATGTTTTATTTATCATAATAGAATACACATCAGTGAGTGAGAGTGAAATTGACCCTGCTTCATTGTGGGGGTTCAGTCCGGCTTTTGCCAAATATATCTACAGGTGCTGGGCACCATAGTCTTCATTCTTATTTGATCACGATGGTATGATACCTGCACATAGGTACAGGTTTTTGATCGGAAATATAAATTAAATTTATTGGATGCATTTGTTGTAAAAAAAACAAAAAACATTAAATGTTTGCAGTGTGGTACTAGGATTTATTTACAAAATGTTCAGGCATAATTATGATGTACACATAAAGAATGAACATATTTAAAAACACAAATATACATAATAAGTTTAAAACAAGTATATGTACAAACGTAAGTCAAGCTACTGTCCACGACCTTTAGCGTTGACTAATGCAAACTCAGTATATAAATATATAAATGATGAAGTTTTGATTTTAGAAACCCACACGTGCATGCATACGGCGATGATTATGTAATCTTTGATGTGGTCAACACGTAAGCGACATTTAATATAAAGTGGCATATGGTTCGCGAGAGGACGAATGTATGAGCCCTAAACTAGGAGAGAAGAAAAAAACCAATAGGCGGAACTAATGGAAAAAGGGAATTTTGATAGAGATAAATAGACGACAAGAGACAAATTTAAAACGCAAGCAATATATCTTTAGGGTAACTTTACAGTTGGAAAAGTGGAACAGTTAAATAAGAACATTATTATGTGTGTATTAATTTATTTCTGATTAATTAAATGAAATTAAAAGAAAAATATATTATACATTAACTAAATGTTAACAGTCCGTTGTTTTACAATTGATAGATATGAATGCGCTAACTTAGCGATCTCGTTTAATATACTATATGGACCTATCACAACTTTTCGATCCTTTCCGATACTGATTGTCAGACATCATTTTTAAAAATAAATGTTTGTGTTTGTTTTTTCACAGAATTTCATCAATTAGTACATCCGATACTTATAACCTTAGATAATACCACTAGATATTTGGTAATCGACGAGGTGATGTAAATGTTATGTGTATCCAAGTAAAGGTAAGTTTTCTCCAGAAGAAAATCGAGCAGAAATAACATATTATTTATTGGTAAATAACATGTTCAAATTTAACTGTGAATTTACATGTTTTTTTTTAAATAAACAAACAAATAAACAAACAAACAATCAATCAATCAATCGAAATGAAAGAAAGACAAGAACAACAATTAATGAATTTGTAGATTGTTCAGTTGCCTCCTTATGAACACTAACATATATTTAGCGCTATCATTTGTACTGTTACTGCATTGGTTTGTTCTATATACAACTCAACAACTGTCCACAATCAGAATAATATGGGTAGCATATTGTAATTATTTTATTATGAAGTCAGTTTAGCTGTGTTTCATACGTAGATAATTTTACATGCGTTTTCCTACATATTTGCTTATCTTTGATGTATTTAATTAAAAAGCCACACATAGTGTAAATCAGTCATTAGAATGAAATTTCTATCAATGTACTTTAAACCTTTCATTGTATTTTTTTGCTGCATAACTAGTATTTTTATTACACTTCATATGAAGTTTGAAGTCATCAAATAAACATGCCTAAACATTTTAATGAAAACAAGTTATGTGTATATAACATAATCTTACGCTGCAATATATCGTCCAGAAATATTATATAGTTCATGCTATTTCATACATATTTTGTGACACAATGTTGAAGCAATATTCTTTACACCGGTCAAAACTTTTATTCAGAGACACACATCTGCCTCATTTCACTAGCGGTATTCCGATCAGATTTAATCACAAGCTACACAGGTATGTTCATTTAAAAATAAATCAAACAGTTACTTTTAAAGTATAAACGAAAACTGTGCTACTGTCCAAATAGGCGACAAAAAGCCGTGATGTTTTGTTATCGAAACATATACCCTGAAGATGTGCTTTACCAGCTCGTTTTATCGGTATTTCTACCTGATCTTTCCCGTCATGTGACATCAAAAGTAAATTGCTTGATGTAAGAGCCACACAGAAGAGATTCTTGTTTATCTTGCAAATACAAGAAAAGTCAGAGACTCTCTTTGCCACATTTGTTGACACGTCACGGTTTTTATCTATATGAATGATACCTTTATACCCGTCGATCACATAGAAACCCTTTGAAGAGCTTGAGAATGCCATACGTCGAGGCAATTCAATTCCACCATGATAAGATAATTCATATCGAAATACTCCAGAAATGGAAAATACTTTAATTTGGCCAGGACCTTCCAAATCCCTATATCCATCACAGCAAACATAAATCATCCCGTCGTTATATCCAATACCTCGACATTTACCAAAAACGTTGAACGAATTTGTTACTGTAATAGGATCTTCCTGTGAGATAAACATAACTTTTCCTGGAGAGAGAGTAATGGCCAGCATTAATGAGTTTATCTCACAAATACCAACAGGATTGCTAGAAAATTTCAGCGAAGAAGTGACCTTGAAGGAATTGTTCATTTTCTTGATCCGCTTGTTCTTGAAATCCACCATAACTATATAACCGTTTTGACACATACACATGTCAGATATATCGCATATATACTTGTCATCTGCTACCTGAACATTAAATTCACCAAAACATTTTTCGACTTCAATGGCTGGGAGATGAAGTATGCTTCCAATAGTGTTGCATTCCGAACCAGTCTCATGTCGATATGGATCGAACCGTAATTTGCCTGTTTTACTTGGCCTTTCAAAGTCTTTTAAACAATCGCTTGCAGTTTTTCTTTCCTCGTTGACTCGCTTTATCTGAACATATTTCTCCGATTCGTTTTCATATTTAGCAGCATTTATCTTCTGTAAACTTTCTTGTAGTACAGCGATCCTTGCATCAACTTCTTTCATGTTTGATTCTATACGTTTCAGTTTTATCTGAAAGATGGCATCCGCTTCTTGAAGAAGTTCTTGTTCCATCTTATCCAAACGGTCGTTGATTTTCTTTCTTTCTGATTTTATTTCTTCAATCAATTTACCCTTTTCGTTCTTAGCATTTCCCAGTTCTTTTTGCTTGTTTTGTTTGAAAGCATGAAAGCGGGCCTGTAGAGTGTTTATTTCAGTTTCAATCAGCTTTAGTTTCTGAGAGGTGTCAGTCTTACACGCGATGTCTGGTATGAATAGTATTCCTTTACATCCACTGCAAAAATCGTTAAAAATAAATAAATAAATAAATAAATAAATAAATAAATAAATAAATAAATAAATAATAATAATAATAATAATAATAAAGACTTTATTTAAAGAGGCATCACAGTTGGGCGTGCATTAGTCTTCCCTATGAGCTTATATACAATGAACTTACTAGTAATACATGTAACAAAGGTATGATAAACAACAAAAATACAAATAGATAAGAAACATATAAAATGAATAACTACAGAAAAGAAACTTTTAATAAGAATAAAAACATTTTATGTAAGATATACATTTATCAGTTTGTTTATAATACAACATGATGAGTTTTATTTCCAACTGGGAACCACCATTTACCTTGGCTTATTTCTTGAGAAAAATGCATAGATCACAAAGAAGACAGTTGATAATTTTCAACTGCTTCAGTCGGGACTCGAATCCCTGAATTATCACATCATATCAATATCTTACCCCCGGTCAAAGTCAAAAGCAAACCAAATTATTCTAAATCAACGGTTTTAGGTTATACAGAAATACATTTAGTTGATTGTGTATAAAGCTAAAGCTTATTGAAAAACTTTCGAATTCGCTCCAGGAACCAACCAGGACTGAGAAAATTTACGTCATGGTTTCTCGATCAAGGAAACAACGGAATGCACCTGACAGGGTCTACACTGACGCGACTAGAGTTCATTAGATTATTAGTCTGGCGAGGTAATCATCCGTCCATGTTCCCCCACCAGCGTTTGATGATGTAACGTTTGGTCAGTACAAAAGTCAAAATGTAACCTTGGCAAAACCATTCCCCTAGTTCTGTCTCAATATTCCTAGGTGTTTTAAAAACTCATTCGAATAAAACTTGTTTCCTACTAATTTGGATTGAAAAAAGAATGATACTCGTATTTCCATAACGTATATATATCTTTCGGTTATCGAAAGTTAAGTTAAATTTCCTACCTATGTTCAACGGATATGCACGTCGAGCAGCACACTGTGTCATGACCAGGACAGTAGACATCTATCAATTTTCCTCCATGTTTCTCACATCTCTGGCTGGGTAGTTTCTTTTGTCGCCCGCTCGGTTGTTTCACTGTATCTAGTAACTGATGGTCTTTCATGGATGAAAATTTATTGTGATCATCAATACAACTTTGACACAGATTTTCATCACATTCCACACAGTGTATGATAGCGGCTTCATTCTTCCCTCCCTTAGAACAAGGGGAACACGGAAAATCATGTTCTATGTCCGAACCTTGATACAAAGATGGTCTTATTTTACGACCGTCTACTGCCATGTTTCCCCTTCTTCGCTTGTCTCACATATCGTTACTTTTGAGAGATAAAATGGTTTAATTTGCATTATAATATACACTATTTCTAAAGTTTCCTTGTTTCAAGTGAAGTGGTAAAACTACTTGATTTAGTATTTCCTATGACCAGCAATATTATCGGAAATTAGCCAAGTGTTCCGAATGTTTAAATGTGGTAATTTAAGAACATCATTTAATGACGCTGGATGATTTATACTACTTTATGTTTGTTGTCTTTTTCGCGACAATACGAACTTTAGTGAATTTAGCTTGTTTTCGGCTATACACTGTTACAGATTAATATAATCAATCTCAATTCCATTCAGTTCGACAAAATTAGGATGTACTTACAAACATAAGCACACACGCACGCATGTTCGTACGCATGCACGCATTCAAATCGAATAAGTTGTTCAAAATTATAAACCAACATATTATAGACGATTTATATTGTCACATTCTTTTGCTTTCATCGTTATTACCTTATTTAGATAACATAATTATTTTAACAAAAATATAACACTTACACAACGTTTTATCGGAACACATTATTCATGTATTTACACAGAGGTACTTCGCTAACTCATAGCCTCCAAAAGGTTTTGAGCTCTGTATAAGTAGGACGAAATTCAATTTCTAGCTAACTTTGAACTACGATCAGACTCTGAAATAGGGTTTTGTCAATTTAAAGTAAACACTATATGGAACCTATTTTGAATTTTGAGTTAGCTCTGAGTCTAGTAAGATTGATCTAGTAAGATTGATATTAACAGTTCAGTACATTGGCGAACATCCCGCCGGCATCAAATTAATTGCCAGTTCTCTTTCACTCTTTCAACAACATGTGCATGCAGTGTCAATATAATTATCCTAAAATAAGAAATACGGTTATGTCACTTGTTCGTGCGTGTGTCCGTGCAACAATTTAACAGAATCTTTTCTCTACTATTAGACATAATTATTTCAAACTTTCGGGGATAGCTATTATAACCGAAGCCTAGCTTCAGTCTGCAGGAGTATATAAATTGATTTAATCTATATATAGAGTAATAGCATTTTCTACAAATGACCGTGAGCAATTTCCTTTTAAATTTTGGACCAGTCCACCCTTTACAGTTTTAGAAAGCTTACATTGCACTGCACACATGGTATACATATAAAGCTGATATGCCCTCTTTATGAGGAGGTATGGAAACAACATCAACCAGGTCGGTATAGCTGAATTTCTAAAGAGGCGTTATATATTACTTACATTCTAAGAAAAGTGTATAATTATTAATGTATTTTTGAAGACCGACGTTGTAATGATCGAAAAAGTAAGAAAATATATTGTACTGGAAGTTAGTATTCATAAACAGCTACAAATTTTCTTCATTTTTGTGCGACTCAGATATTTTCTTTTTCTTTTTTTAGCAAATGGCCCTTTTTTACAATCAATGACACATTGAAGTGTCTGGATAACAAAAGCTTATTGCAAAAATAACATTCGACAGCAGTTAACATTATATTAACATGACTGTATTGTAAGGTGGCGGATGTAAAAATGATTTTTAAAGTATGCGATTCTTTTAAGTTTAAAGAAGAATTATATGGGGTCATTTTAAAAAGTTACATCGGCTTTGATCAAGACCGATGTTCAGTATTAACTGAATGCAAATATCATATGGAACTATAAGCGAGTTTTAGATTAGAATTTTAAAATTTGAAATGAAAGATTATCAATATGCTGTAAATCTTTTTTTTCTGTAACTTATATTTGAGCATAATTATACAATTTATGATTACTATATATCTAAAGCCACTGAAAGTTCATCTATAGATGACACTCAACTAATATATAGGAAGTAAATATTGGACCAACAATTAAACCACATCATGTATAGATGAGTATCAATAAGCAAACAATAAGTGACTAATATTTGATCCTAGAAATGTTGAATGTTGACATATAATAAGAAAACAATTGAAAATTTAAATTTCCGAAATACTCAAGTAGTGAAAGGTATTGTTTTGGTTTAAGGGTGATGATTTAAAGAAATCTTAAAATAAGTACAGTGAAAATGTTACACGGAAATAATGCACCTCCTCCACGAAGAAAGAAATTAAACTTGCGGCTTCAATTCATGGAAACAATACACATTCTTACATTTTCCTAGAAAGAAAGAATTTTTACCATGGGAACTTGAATTCTATCAAATAACAAATATAATAATACGTTTGACAGAAACTTTCAACACATACAAGAGTGATATTTTATGCTATTCTTTCCTTGTAGGTTTTACTTGATTTAAATAATTATGAATATTGTTTCACTATATATATTTCTATGTTCTGAAGATTTTTGAAATGCTTATTGTTTAAAATTTTACGTTTATGCTTCAATTATTATAAAAGAACCCAACAGTAATGCACTGTATATACACTGCTTGCCATTGAAAATCTTTTTACGAGTATGCCGTTATTTGAGATAGCATGCATATATATGAGACCCTTGAATATAAAGGCTGTCCATGTTGATAACAAATTGCCTGTCCCTTTGATGTTCAAGGGGTCATTCATAAATTTGCAATAAACTCATGCAAAGAAGAGACCTTGTCTTAGCGTGTCTTACTCAATATCATGCAGACGCTTTAATTATGCCATTTAACTGACCAAAAGTAATGCATTTAAAATGATTTATTACATGCTTTTTGATGGTTTATAGAAATATATCAGTGACATAAAACTGGTAATTTCACTGTTTGAAACAGTGAAATTACCACTTTGATAATTTCACTGTTTTGAATTTAAGCCCCTTACGTTGTTTCAGTGAAATACCAGCGTGCACAGTACTGGGTACCAACTTAATGACGTGACGTCGTAAATGACGTCACGTTGTATTATTATTTGGCGCGCTTTTCATTCAGTATTAGGTTAAATGTCTTTTTAAAACGTTTCTTTGCATGTAATAAAAAGAAAATTTGTTTAGTTTAGTGTAAGATTGAAATATATTTCACCTTGTGAACACCAAAAGTTCATATTTCACTCGTGGATGCGCCACTCGTGAAATATTCTTTTTGGTGCTCACTCGGTGAAATATATTCCAATCTTACACTGAACTAAACAAATATCCTCTATTTCATGACCCCAAAATATCAATTGTAAACTTTCGACAATTTCCGTCAATCTTCGGATAAATATAATAAATCATCGTCGAGGTGTTCCGATTCCTAAAATTTATCACATTACAAAATATTATGATGTTAATAATAAAGTGTTTTCATAATGGCCTCGTTATTGGGCTGAAGACATTTTTTCTGAGGTACAAAAGCCTGAAGGAAAGCATAGAATTTGAATTTCTTATAAAGATCAGATGGAGCTTTTAAAACAAAGATATTCAGAAGAGTGTTAAGAAATAATGTTGGAAACGAGATAAAAATTGTATTTTTTTACCGGATTTGAATGTGCATCTCTTTAAATTTTGGTCATTTTTAACAAGTAATTATTCTGGAAAAAACGAAGTGCACTTTTACACACAACCTTTTTGTCTGAATCAGCATTAATGAAGCATTTATGTAGAAAAAAATTTGTCAAACAAATTGAGTGGAGTCCCTTTTAAAATCTTGAGGGTTTCTTTACAATTATAAAATACAAATACAAGCAACATTTGGCTTTAGGCATATGGTTCCAGATAAGAAGTTTTACTAAATAAATACACTACAACCTCCCCCTATAGAGCAACGTTCATCGGGAATAACAAAGATTTTGGTTGCAGCCGACAAAAATGACATTATCAAGCATATCTCATACATGTATTTTAACCTTACTTCCTCAATTTAACAAATAAAGCCTGATCACTTCATCTTAATTGTTAGAAAACGTTCGACCCTTTGTTCCAAGATACAAGAACATTTATTCTGATTGTTTACTTAAAAAAGTCATGGCCTTTACAGTGCTCTGACCTATTTCTATTTCTATCTAGTACATAAATTACGCAGTTCATAATTCTTAGAAATTATAGTAATACGTAAATCTACTTTCCTATCATTGTTTATTGAGGAAAAAAGTATCCGCTAATATAATAAACAATGGTTTTATTTTCCTCTAAAAACTTAACAAATGAAGAGTCTTTTGTGGTTAAATTAACACCAATATAAACAACAATGGCAATTTCTTCCTTCTTCTTGACTTTATAATTTAATTCTAGTTTTGCAGAACTCCTATCTGACTTGATTCATACTAGGGTTTTCACTGAACAAAAACTTCCCCAAATCATCTCATATTTTCTCCACTTACATCACTCTTCCACGACAGCATCTATCTTCACTAGTTACCTTCTTCTTTACCTTCACTTATACCACTTTTCCTCAGCTTTAATCATTTATCCTTCACTTTTAACACCATGTTATATTAACTTACACATTAGTAATTTACTAACACCATTCTCCATTCACTTATTAAAACATTTCCTTTAAATCATACCACTTTACCTAAACTTCAACACTCTCCAGTTACTTACACCACTTAAATTATTTTCACCATTCTCCATTCACCTATGCCCATTTCAATTAACTAACACCATTCTCCATTCACTTTTGCTCATTCCAATTAACTAACACCATTCTCCATTTCCGTACGCCAATTTCAATTAACAAACACCATTCTCCATTCACTTACACTCATTTCAATTAATTCAAACCATTCTACATTCACTTGCGCCCATTTCAATTAATTAACACCATTCTAAATTCACTTATGCTCATTTCATTTAACTAACACCATTCTCTATTCACTTACGCCCATTTAAATTAACTAACACCATTCTACAATCACTTACACCCATTTCAATTAACTAACACCATTCTCCATTCACTTAAGCCCATTTCAATTAACTAATATCATTCTACATTCACTTACGCCCGTTTCAATTAACTAACACCATTACCTATTCACTTACATCCATTTCAATTAACTAATACCATTCTCCATTCACTTACGCCCATTTCAATGAACAAACATCATTCTCCATTCACTTACACCCATTTCAATTAACTAACACCATTCCCCATTAACTTACGCCCATTTGAATTAACTTACACCATTCTCCATTCACTAACGTCCATTTGAATTAACTAACAGTATTCTACATTCACTTACATCCATTTGAATTAACTAACACCATTCTCCATTCACTTACGCCCATTTGCATTAACTAACACAATTCTCCATTCACTTACGCCCATTTGAATTAACTAACACCATTCTCCATTCACTTACGCCCATTTCATTTAACTAACAACATTCTCCATTACCTTACACATCTCACCACTCTCCATTAACATACACAATTCTCCATATCTTATACCATTCTTCCTTCATTTACACCAATCTTCATTCAAAAGCATTACACTCTCTTTACTCACATCACACTACTGTACCTACACTAACTTAATGACAATTCATTTACTTCACTTCCACCATTTTTCATGACTGTACCTACACTTACATATAATTATGAAATTTTTAAAGATTTTCCCTTTAAAGTCTTTTTTTCAGCTCCTGTGATCTACTTATACATCAGGCTGAAACTAATAAAAGGTTACCTAAAAATCATTCCTGTGAATTTTGGTAAAAAATCCACAAAGTGATTAAGGAGATGCTGTTTAAAGAAATTGTGGTTAATGAAAAACGACTGACGACGAACACACTGTCATCACAAAAGCTCAAGTCTGAGCACAGGTGAGCTAAAAAGCTTACAATAAATAATATTCCATACACAGTTTTATTTATCAGAATGATTTAAGCAGCATGACCAAAAAAAAAACTTATCAAATTAGAAAAAACTACTAGTAGAAAGTTTCATATCAACTTTCTTTCAATCTTTTATGTTTTTTAGATTTTTTATGTCTCTTCCTATGTGACTCATTCTCAGAGTCAGAGTTTGACCTTTCAACTCTCTCCTTATCACTGTCGTCTGGAGAATGGGATCTGTAATTCTTGCTGGTTTTATTGCTATCAAAACTCTCTTTAGTCTTTTCCACCCAAACCAGCATATCATTATTGTTAACACTATTTTCATAACTTTCAATATTATCCACTGAAACAGATTTACGAGAATTAGAAACATTGTTCTCTTTTGATTTTTTTTCTCTACAAGGGGATTTCCCTGGTGAACTGTCCTTTGACTGAGATCTAGATCTGTCCTTGATTTTACTCTCCTTTGACCTATGTGAACTACTTTTTCTATAAGGAGACCTGGATCGTTGTCTTGAACGACTTGACCTATAATCAGGAATCCTTGACCTATTTCTTTTGTTATATGACCTTTGATCAGGTGACCTTGATCTGTGTTTTGATCTATATGATTTATGTCTTTCTGGTGACCTTGAATTATGTCTGGAATATCTACTGTTGAACCTATTACTGTCATGTCCGTCACGTGACCGTGAACGTCTGCGACTCCTTGATGACCTTGAAGGTGAGTATCTCCTATCTTGTGACCTTGACCTTCTATTTCTTCGATGAAAGCCTTGTTGAGGAGTAAATGGCTCCATATCTCTGTCAGCCATATTAAACTCATTGTTTGGGTTCTTAAAGACATGAAGAAAGTTGCATTCTCTACCTTTTGGGCAGCGTCCCTTACCAAATAATCCTACAAACATATATACATATATAAAACAAATTGTTTTTAATTTCAGTATCCTCCCTATAACCAAAATTAATTAAATGGTTTCTTATAGAAACAGGAGCATTGATGCGGTGCTAAGGCTTGTCTGTTAAATATTCTAAGTTTAAAAGGGGCATAACTCCAAAAATATTGCTTTCAGATTTATACCACTTGTCTAACAACTGCACCTTGTCATGATATGCAAGTAATGCCAAGTTTTATGACGGTAACTTGTAAAATTTGAAAGAAGACAAGCTAGTGATAAAGTTGATTATACAAGATTCATTAGAAGAATTTCAAGAAACCATTTAAATGAATACAATATAAGACTTAAGACATATATCTAAGTTTTAACCATAATGAAAATTGAAATTTCAATTCACTCTATAAGTTATCAATATTACAATTTATGAAAAGATTTTGATTTTAAATCACATGATTAACAAGTGTATTGTCACAAAGCCTGGTTTTCCTCCAGTTTTAATAAGGTAAAAAATTCTACCAGAAATGATGAAATTAAAATATCCAGACAAAATGCACAAGTGCAGCTTATGACAATAATTCTTAAAGTGCTTGGTTGAAAAAACCTTGATAAATGGTTGAAGTCCCTTGCAAAATAGATGAAATGCAATGAGAAATTTTTTGAACTCCCTTGAGGAACCTTAATTGTTGAAATCCTTTAAAGATCTTAATAGTTGAGATATCTTAATAAATGGATGAAATTCATTGAGAAATGGTTTATATTATTTTAGAAACTGTTGAAATTCCTAAATAAATCTTAATGGCTAAAATCCTTTTTTGAAAAATCTTAATGGCTAAAATCCTTTTGAGAAATCTTAATGGTTGAAATCCCTATATAAATGGCTGAAATTCCTTGACAAAAATGCATAAAATCCCGTAAGAAATTATTGAAATCCCTTGAGAAATGGCTGAAATCATGAGAAATATAGGAGTTGTGTACAGAAGAATTGTTTCTATCAAACCCCACTGACATTCACCAATCAAATAGCCAGAGTTTTCTATTGGAATACCGGGTTGAAAATTAATTAAAAATCTGTATTTGTTCTAAAGATTTTTTCAATTTCAACTTCTTCTTCAGAGATAAGATAAAGAAACTCTTACCACAAATTGCCCTTCTCCAGGATGGTATTTCCACAAACTGGGCAGATATTTGTTTTCCCCCATACCATCTAGCATTGAATTTTGTAAGTGCTTCCAGTGCATGGTCTTCCCTAAAGTGAACCATGAATATGTTCAAAGGTCACAATTTTATAAAAGAAATGTCAATAAAAACATTTTTTTTTTAATTAAAAATGTTCTGCAAGTGTAACAATGTCAACATACATGATGGTTATATTGATAAGGAAATGAAATTTTCAAAACATTTGCACAATGATAAATTAATACAAAAACACACACATGTATATAAATAGTAACAGATTAAATATTGAGTTGCCCAAGCTAAACACAAGTTGTCTGTAAGACAGTGTGCTCTACTATTCTTAGCACATGGAAATAACAAAAAGGCCATAATTCTGTAAACAAGAGGGTCATGATGGCCCTGAGGTCGCTCACCTGTATATAGGCCCCCGGAGCGAGGCCCGTTTAAACCCCAGGGCTTTTATTTGAACAAACTTTGAAGACACCCATTAGAAGATGTTTCATTATGTTAAATTTTTACTACACACATATAATGAAAAACAATGACCTCTGCACCCCCTCACCACCCCCCCCCCCCCCCCCCCCCCCGCAGGGACAATTTTAACCCAAGGGCTTTTATTTGAACAAACTAAAAATTAAATGGTAGACACCCACAAGATGTTTCATGTTAAATTTTAACGAAGATTTTTTAAGTGTATACACATACACAATGTATAATAAACAAGAGGGCCATGATGGCCCTGAGGTCGCTCACCTGTATCTAGCCCCCCCCTTCCCCCGGCCCAATTTTTACCCAAGGGCTTTTATTTGTTTATTTGAACAGACTTTGTAGACACCCATAAGAAGATGTTTCATGCAAAACATCTAAGTTCTAGCTCATTGGGTTTTTTAAAAGAAGATTTTTTAAGTTTTTACTATACACATATAGTTAAAAACAATGACACCCCTCGGGCAGGGCCAGTTTTGACCCCTGGGCTTTTATTTGAACAAACATTGTACATATTTACTTAAAGATGTTTCATGCTTAATATCTAAACTCTAGTTATTTGTGTTTTTTAAAAGAAGATTTTTAAGTTTTTGCTATGTATATAAGGAAAATCAATGACCCCCGGGGCGGGGCCAGTTTTGACCCCTGGGCTTTTATTTGAACATACTTGGTAGACACCCATTAGAACATGTCTCTTGCTAAATATCTTAGCTCTAGCTCTTTGGATTCTTTAAAAGAAGATTTTATAAGTTTTTACTATATGCATATAGGGAAAATAAATGACCCCCTGGGGCGGGGCCAATTTGGACCCCAGGGCTTTTATTTGAACAAACTTGGTAGGAATTCACTAGAAGATGTTTCATGCCAAATATCTAAGCTCTAGCTCTTACAGTTCTTTAAAAGAAGATTTTTTAAGTTTTTACTATATGCATATAGGGAAAATCAATGACCCCCTGGGGCGGGGCCAATTTTGACCCCAGGGCTTTTATTTGAACAAACTTGGTAGACATTTACTAGAAGATGTTTCATGCCAAATATCTAAGCTCTAGCTCTTACGGTTCTTTAAAAGAAGATTTTTTAAGTTTTTACTATATGCATATAGGGAAAATCAATTACCCCCCAGGGCGGGGCCAATTTTGACCCCAGGGCTTTTATTTGAACAAACTTGGTAGACATTCACTAGAAGATGTTTCATGCCAAATATCTAAGCTCTAGCTCTTTGGGTTCTTTAAAAGAAGATTTTTTAAGTTTTTACTATATGCATATAGGGAAAATCAATGACCCCCTGGGGCGGGGCCAATTTTGACCCCAGGGCTTTTATTTGAACAAACTTGGTAGACATTCACTAGAAGATGTTTCATGCCAAATATCTAAGCTCTAGCTCTTAGGGTTGTTTAAAAGAAGATATTTAAAGATTTTTCTTTCGGTTGCCATGGCAACCAGAGTTCTGCATGGAATTAAATTCTTTGAACAATTTTTAAAGGTGACCACCAAAGGAACATTCCTGTGAAGTTTGGATGAGTTGGCTCAGTGGTTTATGAGGAGATGTCATTTAAAGCAAAAGTTTACGGACGGACGACGGACGGACGACGGACGGACGGACGGACGCCGGACGAAAAGCGATCACAAAAGCTCACCCTGTCACTTTGTGACAGGTGAGCTAAAAACAATGACACCTCTGGGGCGGGGCCAGTTTTGACCCCAGGGCTTTTATTTGAACAAACTTTGGAGACACTTACTAGAAGATGTTTCATGCTTAATATCTAAACTCAAGCTTTTAAGGTTTTTTCAAAGAAGAATTTTAAGTTTTTGCCATACACAAATAAGGAAAATCAATGACCCCGGACAAACTTGGTAGACACTCACTAGAAGATGTTTCATGCTTAATATCTAAACTCTAGCTATTTGGGTTTTTTCAAAGAAGATTTTTTAAGTTATTGCTATACACATATAAGGAAAATCAATGACCCCCGGGGACAGGGCCAATTTTGACCCAAGGGCTTTTATTTGAACAAACTTTGTAGAAACCCATAAGAACATGTTTCATGCTAAATATCTTAGCTCTAGCTCTTTGGGTTCTTTAAAAGAAGATTTTTTATGTTTTTACTATATGCATATAGGGAAAATCAATGACCCCCTGGGGGGGGCCAATTTTGACCCCAGGGCTTTTATTTGAACAATCTTCGTAGACACTCACTAGAAGATGTTTCATGCCAAATATCTAAGCTCTAGCTCTTTGGGTTTTATAAAAGAAGATATTTAAAGTTTTTTCTTTCGGTTGCCATGGTAACCAGAGTTCTGCATGGAATTAAATTCTTTGAACAATTTTTAAAGGTGACCACCAATGGAACATTCCTGTGAAGTTTGGATGAAATTGGCTTAGTGGTTTATGAGGAGATGTCATTTAAAGTAAAAGTTTACAGACAGACGGACGCCGGACGGACAGATGCCGGACGAAAAGCGATCACAAAAGCTCACCCTGTCACTTTGTGACAGGTGAGCTAAAAAGTTACTCAGAGTAATAGAACCTGTGCCCATCATGTGAGATAGTTTGTGAAGTTTCAACCAATTACCTTCAGACGTTTTTTAGAGATATCAAATTGCAGTCTAAAACTAAACAGAGATGTGATGGCAAAGTTGATGGCAGGATGAGTACAACAGCTTTCCCTATTCTTTGAATAGTCAAGCTTCAAACGCATGTTTCGCTCAGTTTTTGCCAGATGATATTTTGTAGTACATGTAGTAGTCAAAAAATATGGAATATGTGTGATATGGTATATAATTGCCTTCATTTTTAACTTGCTACTAGTTTATATGAATTTGTTTAAGTTCAATAGTGTTGGCAACTTGTTTTTATTGAAGTACAATTCCTGGAACCATCTAATGCTAGGCAATTAGTGAAAATAATGTTGAATCAACTGAATATTTTTTAAACTTTCATAATTTGACAAAGAATTGCTGTCAATTACCGGTATAGGGATTTGGGCTGTAAGCAATATATCTCTTGTGCCATGTCAATGGAATATTTTATTTACTAGAGATACATTGACATTAAAACCTTATATCATAAAAGGTTAAAAACATTGATACAAATTTCTCTCATTTTTTTTTTATAATAAAAATCTGTAAAAAATCACAAACCTGGAATACGACACATAAACATTTCCTCTAAGGTGAGGTTGATAATTACAGCATACTTTGAACTGAACCATGTGCCCAATGACCTTGAACTCTGGCAGGGTGTCCTCATAAAACTCACGAAACTTTTGGTAGACCTCACTATCTTCATACTCCAGCACTATATCTGTATGATATATACAGATAATGAATGAGTGAAGATTCAATACTGATTTTTATTGAAAAAGTTGTATAAAATTATATAATGCAAGCTTCTGAGGAGGAGTGTATTATAGCACTACATGATACATGAGTTCAATAAATTTAGTAAGAACTGGGAGCAATGCTTTATTACACTCCATGAGTTTAATAAATTTATTATTACATGTATCCTGAAAAAGAACTGTTTACAGTTATAAAATATTCATTTTGTCAATGACACATTTATATTGTAACATTCACTTCTGGCAATTTTTATGCTATATTTATATGGTATGTTTGAATAACTCAAATGAAGCCACTTAAAAATATATACACAATCGCAAATATATGTGATAAAGAAATACATGAAATAACATTTTATAATGTGATACACATGCATTACTCATATGAAAATAAAAAAGGAATGTAAATCAACACTCCAAACACCAGGTAAAAATTAACTTAACTTAATGATCACAACTGTGCAAGACAGTTACCAAACAACTTCTAAATGGACTTTGTATGAAATTGTACACAGAATAATTATGTGACAAATGAAACTTAGTACACGTGTATATGAGAAAGTGTGTATTCAGATAAACTTGTATGCCCCCCAAAAAATCATCTACTGTGCTCAAAAAGACCAAAAGGTATGCCTATAATGATCTACTAGTGTGCCCACAAAGATCGAAAGTTGTGCCCACAAAGTTGATAGCATTAGGACCCATTTTTATGCCCTGCTATTTATTAGTTTGAGGAACTTATTAGGAAATACTTGATTCATAGGCAGAAAACTTATGCCTGTATTTTTATGTATCACCACAGGAACTTGATATTTAATCAATAAATCACAAAATATATGTATTATTATATGTAAGATATAGCCCTTATCTCTTTAAAAACAAGAACCGGTTGAACTGGGTGATGCTCCCCAATAGGTTTTGGACACAGAATAGCCTCTTGTAGTATCAGAGTTATGTCCCAGACAAACATTAAAATGTAAATATGAACAAAGAGCAATAACTCCAAAATTAGGTTAGGCAGAGTTACAGTTCTTGTGCACTGCACTTCTACCCAATGAGATCTATCTACATACAAAGTGTCTTGTTCATATCTCTTATACTTTCAGAACTTTGTCCCAGACAATGTTCAAAGTGTAAAAATGGACAAAGGGCAATTACTCCAAAATAAAAGATCTTTCTACCTACAAAATTTTATGTTGATATCTCTTCTAGTTTCAGAATTATGTCCTGGAAAAAGTTCAAAGTAAAAAAATGAACAAAGAGCAGAAACTCCAAAATTAGGCAAGGCAGAGTTACGACTTTTGAGCATTGCACATCTACCTAATAAGATCTGTCTACCTGCAATGTTTCATGTTGATACCTCTTGATGTTACAGAGTAATGTCCCGGACAAGAAAGGCAGACGGACAGACTGATGTCTGGCCGTAAAGGAATATGGGGCCATTTCTTTTATTTTTTTCTATTGTTTAATAGAGGGCAAATGGCCCCTTACTCTATTGTTACGGAATGAACTCTATTGTTCTCTTTTGTTCTGTTTACAGTTAGATAGCCCTATCCCTATTCAGTAGTGTGGAGGGACAGACAAAGTGATGACTATATGCTCACCCTACAGGAACATGAAAAACAAAAAACGCACACACTTAAATCACAAAATTTACATATATCAAAGATAAAACCTTTATCTCTATAAAAAAGAGAAAAGGTCTGACTATATCTTTAAAAAGCATATATTTTGTAATATCAAGTTCCTGTGATATCCTTTATCAGCATATTACATACCTGTGTCATATTCCTCACATTGACCTTGATCAAGCTGGAAATGCCGGAACATGTTTGAGAATAACAATGTACGGCTGCTATCTGGGTACGGATGAGCTCTCGAACACCTGAAAGTAAATAATCATTCATTTAAATACCATAATAGTAAATTTCAATTAAACTGATAAGTTGATAAGTTTCAAGCTTTTATGGTATAAAAAAAATAATTCCTGGTATTAATTCTTTGTTAAGGATGTCTCTGCACAGATGTTTCATACTTTGCTGTCTAGATAACTGCCAGTTGAACGGCGCTTTAACTTAACAAAGAGCATGACAGTAACAGAAGAATCTGGATAATGCAGGACATTCGCAAAGTACACAAGGGGAATAATTCGTCTAAAAAAGACAACAACAACGACAAAAAAGACAATGCTAGAGTTCAAGGTCTCAGTGAGCATCCTACAATAACTATTACATCAAAGACATGCCTGAAGATTTTAGCTTGTATCTTCCATGCTTATGGAAACAGAAGTTGTGCATACAGATCCTTATCTCTAGGATTTTTTTTCAATTTTCAGACACAACATAATTATGCTAGAGCTATTGTTTTTGCACAATTACCTACAATTGATAACTTAAAACTTTACTGAGGAGTAAGGGGTTAAAAATGTAGACATTAAACACAGCTCTGCCCAAACAGCAATTAAAATTGGTAATATATCTAAGTTTTTTTCAGAGAAAACATAATACAATGTACTGGAAGTCTGTGCATATTGTAACTTTCTAAATTTCAAGGAATGAGCCATCATCCAAGTAAAACCACTGACAAATAAAGCTAGCTGGATAGCTTTCTAACATCAAAGATTTCAAAGTCTCAATTAAAAGCTTTTAAAAGTTTTGAGGATTTGAATACATGGAACTGAGCAACTAAAATTTTCAGTTACTTTTAGTAAGCATTGCAATTGATACAACATCAAAAAAATAGCACTATGGCCTGCAGTTCTGCTTCTTATCTGATGAAAAAGTTCACACTAATCTCAATACTAACCACTAGGATTAAATTGAAAACTGTAGGATTATTCCACATTAGTTTTGCCTTCTATAATGGAGAATTAACTTTTAAATAATAAATAATTAAGTATGAAATTTTTTTATATAATACCTATCTCCAAATCTGCATGCTCCAACTTTCACAAAGAACGGACAATTTTCTACCTGTCTCTCTTTCCCATACTGTACTGGGGCAAGCGGATTTGACCAATCACCATCCTACAAATTGTTTCAAAAATGTTGCAATAAATGATATTAAACAGTCCCAAGTTTATCATAATTGTTTCGATGGATTTTTTCAAAATAATAAAATATACTCTGCAAAAACTAAATAAATCCACATGAAAATATCCAGGTGCACAGCTACACACTCACCTGAAAGATCTCCTACCAGCAAACTAAATAGTGAGTTAAAGATATATTATGCACAAACTTGATATTTGAAAAACAACAACTGATATACAGTCTCATTTGAAATGTAAAATAAACATCATTTGAATACACACAGAGAAAATATGTTATGTTTTAAACTTTTCAACCTACATGTAATCACAGTATGATACCATACAAATGTAGTGTCATTAAAAAACTGTCTTTTTTATAGAACAGATCAAATTAATTTGACAAATAATGAGGAATGCAGCTTCTCAAGCTTCTATTCTAATCCCAGATAATTTGGTAGTTTGTTTGTTTGATTGGTTTTTAAGTCACACTGACACAGTATAGGATATATGGCGACGTTCCAGCTTTACTGATGGAGTAAGACCTTAGGTGCCCTTCTGTGCATTATTTCAGGCATGAGCAGGCACCTGAGAAGAACCATCAATGTTTCATATTTAGCTGGATAGCTTCCTCCCATGAATGAATCCAAAGTCGCTGTCAGGATTCAAACCCACAGTGGTGAGGGGCAATTATAATTATTGGTTTGAAGTCAACAACATTAATTAGGTAGTATTTCACTTAAATTTAGGTGAAGAAGATTTTAAATGTTTTCCTTTTTGACAATATGGACAACGTAAAATTAAATGATCCTATTTTTTACCCAATGGTTAAGATTTGATCAAATGAGGCAGTGATCCACTTGATAATGCTACTAACCAAAAATCTAAGATCTTGGTCTTGTGGTTTAGGTGAAGAGTTTCAAAGCTTGCACTTATAATCTATTTTTACCTTCATTGACTCAGATATGAAATGGACTAGAACCATTTGAAAAAACTTTGGTAGAGTTTAAAATTTATGCAAGGAATATAACTAGCAAATTTCAGAAAATGTGGCAAATTGGTTACAGAGGAGATTTCATTTGAAAAAAATTGTTAACAACAGACCAATGCACAGCCATGGATTCTAACAACTCACTGAGATTTCAGTATTTAATCATTCAAGCGCCTTGGCCGGTATATACCGGAATACAGTATTTAATGTTGTGCACCAACACTTTCTTTTAGTCTCGCTCAGAACATATAAAGTTTTTAATCATTCTCCAGCACTATTTTAAATAAACCTGTCAAGCGTTTAATTATAGACTTATTCATTAACTATTTTGAGGGTTATCAAGAAGATAATGCACAGTTGTTAGCCAGTTTAAGGACCGGAAATAAAGGCAAGCCATGATTGAATTTCAAGAAGAAATGGGGTCATCTCCCCTTATCATCATTATGCAGAGTTACTGGTCTTGCTCCTACAATTAAGTATATGAGCCATGTCACGACAAAACCAACATAATGGGTTTGCGACCAGCATGGGTTCAGACCAGCCCGCGCATCCGTGCAGTCTGATCAGAATTCATGCTGTTCACTATCAGTTTCTCTACTTATAATAGGGTTTGTAAGCGAACAGCATGGATCCTGATCAGACTACGAGGATGCGCAGGCTGGTCTGGATCCATGCTGGTCGCAAACACACTATGTTGGTTTTGTCATGACGCGGCTCATACTTCAATAAATTGATACACTGAGAATAACATAATTATAGGTACTGACCTTATTTTCAGCTTCTCTAGCCTGCTTCAGAAGTTCCTCCTACATGTTGAAAACAAACAAAATCTGACCCTGAATATACTGTTAAGATATTAAATCATTTTCTTGCTACAGTTAATAATCTTTAACATTTGCAAACACACACAAGAAGTTAACATGTGTCATTGTGTCATGCCTGTTTAGGTTATACCTTTTATTCATCTACTCTTCACAACACAAATCAACACAAAATCATAAAATGATACACTATTTGCACACAAAAAATATAATTGTTAATAACCCAATACAAACCCCACTCAAGACCATGACTGTATATTTAATTATGTTTGTTTGCCTGTTGTTTTTTTTAATGCAATTTTCTACACATTTTTTTGTCATATAGGTCTGTCAACCTTACTGGCTTTCCTGGATAACAAACCAGTATTCACCAATCTCTCCACAAATGATCCATTGTACAGTGTATTCATTAAAATGTCAATCACCAGAAATGTAAGATTAAATTCCCAACCTTGGCTGTATAAATACCCTTAAATAACTTAACTTGCTGGAACTCAAAGTAATTATATTAGCCCTTGCCACCAGTATACAGCCCAGGCCAGCCTGTACATCTATGCAGCCAGAATAGGCTCTATACTGCTGGTAGATGGCTTTTTTCATATTTTGAAAATTGAACTCCCTTTTAACTTTGAATAGACTGTTATCAAAATAGAAGGATAAGGAGACTGGTTCATATTCAAGGTAGTGCAAATCCAGTACAGAAAAATTCTCCAGGTTAGGAGATATCAATAATCATACAGAGCTATTACATTAGCCTATGAACATTTTCTTAGCTTACAAATTAACTCATAGCTAAAATAAAATTGTAATCATACATTAAAAGATACAGTGAGTCGTTGAATATCTCAAACTTCCCTGAAGCCATATTGTGTGAACAGTTAAGGAAACATTTTCAATAACTTATTCAGCTTTACACTTTCATACATTGATAAATATTTCTTCAAGTACATGTATAAAGAAACCACATATATATGTCTGTTTGTAATGATAAAGCTTTTTATCGAAAGTACTTGACTGTTACAGACACACTAGTTACAAGAGACAAGTATTGGCTTCATTACCATATAACTGCCTTATACTTGGTAGAACATTAAAGCTGCATGCCTCCAGATGAGCCAAAACATTTCAAGAAAATCAACCTTATGAAAAAATGAACTAAGACTGTAAGAAAAGTAAAACTATTTATATATAAATTACAATAATTCAAGTAATAATTTACATGCACTGAATGACTAATTTTCAGCATTTATCCCCATTTTTCTACAGCATAACTTACGCAGTATGACATCTACATGTATTCCATAATTTATGTTGAATGGCAGTGCCATTTGCAATGTATAAATAACTTTCAATGTTCACTTTTAAGTATTATACTCTTTTAATACATTTTAAAATTTTTCATTGAAATAAGCATAAATCTGGAGATATGCTGCTTTAAAACAGAAAATCATGTAAACCTGTTTAACTATAAGCAAAAATACTGTCAGAATCTTACACCAGCTGCTGGTACAGACCGGAATATCCAGCTCAAGGTACTGTTTACTGCGGTAACAAGGCTCTGCCAAGTTTCTGCTAAACAGTTACCCGAGAGCTAGATCTTCTCGCCTGTACTGAGCGGTGTAAACGGTAGATATTCCTGTCTGATATGCAAGAAAAAGCCCTAAATAACCATCAGACAGCTTGTCACATAGCCTTCCTAGTGCTTAGTGATTATTTTCCTAACAAGTACAGTTTGAAAACATATTTTTTGCATTATAATGCTTACCGGTACATCATTATTCATCAATAAATTCTATGCCTAATTTCAATGTTTCATCTCTGTGACATGTAGATAATTAAAGGCACAGTATGCCTCAGAAATTCATTTTTTTTTTAAATTCTTTAGAAGTGTCAAATATGTGTTATTGTTTTTTTTTTTTTATAATGGATTTAGAGTATGTTAGACGTTTAAGATTTAACAGCTGAAGAAAGAAGCGCTGAACATGCTGTTATGTGCTGTAAAGGTAGCAAAATGTAAACAATGTAGTATTTTGACTTCCATACAAAATACTAATTCTTAGCAATTATATGAATTGCCAACAAAGCAAAATGGGGCAAAGGTAGTTCATCTATAAGGCAAATGAGTATTTAATGGAGACTGTAACAAGATACCGGAAAATTAAAAAAATTTGCGAAATAAAAATGACAGCATTTCTGAGGCATAATGGGCCTTTAAATATGTTCATAAACTGAGAATATCAGTTTCCATACCAACTTGGTTGTTATTCTTGTACATATACATGTAAAAAAAATAAAAAATTAGGATATGTTATCCTGACCCATCTCTTTAAATGGATCACCTGTTTTTCCTTCTTCTTTCTTTTCTCTTCTTCCTCTTCATGTTCTTTCTTCTGTCTTTCCTCCCATTCTTCTTTTATCTTTCTCTAAAAAATCAGCAATAAAAAGTGACAAAATTTAATTTAAAACAAACTAATCAACAAATCAAAGAAATATAAGTAGCTTAAATACACCAAAAAACACGGAAAGAAATTAACTTTTGCAAAGGAAACATCAATTAACCTTTAAAGGAACTCCACTGAGGTAAAAAAAAGCCTACAAACATAAAATTCTACTTTCTTACATACATCAGCTGGGTCACTTGAATACAGAAATATAAATAAAAGATAGTTAAAATGAAAATCGTATTTTTATGAGCTCGTTCGAGCAATGCATTTCAACTTTGGGTCATTTTTCACAATTAGAAGAATTATTCTGGGAAAAATGGTATGAGCATACGATCTGATATTCTTCACACTAATTATTGGTCTTAATCTACATCAAATAAAATGTCACATTCAATTAAGAAGTACTGGATGTCCTAAAATTTATCTCTATTATCTTTTTAAAAAACAGTCATAACAAAGCGTTAAGAATGTCCATGTAACTACCTCTATTTCAATTTTTAATTGTTTTTCACGTTCTGCTTGCTCCTCCTTCTCTTTCAATCTTTGCTTATATATTTCCTCATGCCACTCCCACAATTCCCTTTGTCTCTGTGACTCCGCCTCTATTCGTAAAAGCTCTGCCTTTTCAAGCTCTTCCTCATATGCTTGTTTATGTTGGAAGGTTGGTGAATTCTTTTTCAGCTCTTCTTCTGGTATAATTGAATAGTTGTTGATTTATTCAGGGCTTCCATTAATGGAAGTTTGGGAGTCATTTACTCCTTGATTTTGGCTTGTGACTTAAAAAATATAATGCTTATCCTAATTTATCTATATAAAGAGACTTCCAATGTAAGACAATTTGCCGTCTCTGACTTCTAAATTTTGAAACCTAATGAAAGCCCTGATTATTATGTTAGATTTTTTTAAAAGAAACACTTACTTTGAACTTATTACACTGCCCTTGATATTAATTGATATTAAAAAGATTAGTTTAGTTGTCATCAGCTATGTCCATATTCCATTAACACCCTTTCCCACCCTCCAGATGACAGAAAATTAACTTTTAACTATTAGTCTAACTATAACACAACAATTTTGGAGGCTTGCAAGTTTCCCTGACAATTTAATGTAGTTATATTTGACATTAAAAAAAATTCATCATTATAATAAGGGAAAGTCAATGGCTGAGACTGCAAAGTGGGCCTGGGCTTTGACTTGCCTAGCTATAGACTACATGTGTATATTTAAAGGGAAATCAAATTAAGAAAACAATTAAAAGAATATATAGAATTCTATAATGAAAATTTCAGTGTCAGTTCTTAAGTTGGGCGCCACCATTTTCAATGTTACTTAATGATAATGGAACAATCACAACTTTTTGGATTATTAATTATTGTTGAGTATTCCAAGTGAAAATGGAAGCAGTGCATAAAATACGGAATGACACCTTTAAAAAGGAAAAATGAACGATATTTCAACAGACTCCCCTGTTCATAGGCTTTGCCTAATTTCATATTATAAACTCTTTATCATTATAATATAAACTCCCTCTGACACTTTAATACCTTTCTGGAGTTTTTCATCTCTTTCCCTGGCTTCTGCTTGTCTCTTGATTTTTCTTTTCTGTTTCTTTAACAAAGCTTTTCTTCTCTTATGACTGAAATACAGAACAATACGAGGTATCTTCAAAAAAATTGTGAACTCTTGATGTCATATTTTACTTGGTTAATAGCGAGCTCGACGAGCTGGCCCGAAGGGCCTGCTCGCAAAGCGAGCTTTACGGTAACGCGAGTACCTGCTAAGTGATGGTTTTGAAAACTTTCGTCCAAAGTACCGAATTGGACACATCGCAACCTTTCGAATTTAAAGATAACGATAAAAACTGAGGAATTCTGGCTGAAAACGGATGTGCATGTAGACTGGTCACCCGCGCACGTCTATGGGAACCATAATTGGACAGGGAACCAGAATAACGGAAGCTGTGTATAAAAAATGAAAATCGAAGGCGCCATTTTGTTTGAAATCTGATAAATAAAAACAATTTTTTTGTCGACTTTTGTTGTGAAAACTATCTAGAATGAAAGAAAATGGTCTAACTAAGAAAATGAATTCGAACACCAATATCTTTTATTCAGTTGTTAACGCTGTACAGACGTTTAAAGTATTGTTTACGTGACGTCACAATGTAGCGCCAAACAACGCGTGCAAAACAAACAAATCAAGTACGCTATTTTAATGTCGCAAACGTTTTAAGTTTTACATTTATTTCACTTTAAATAATCTTTATTTCGCTTGAAAAATTATAGAGTGAAATAAAATAAACATAGTTTTATAAACGTTTTCAAAACTCGTTATTCATTTCACGACAGGGGCGGAGCCATATTTAACACAGTACGTGTGACGTCACACGCACTCGTCACTGCATTTGAAATAAAAATGAGCGATTATTTCATACTATTTCACGTAAAAAGTACATCGAGCTCGCTTTGAGGCTTTGCCTTTTTCATATTAAAAACAAACTTTGTTAATATAAAACAAAAGGATGTTGTACTTCCGCCATTTTCAATGTACATTAAAAACATGCGAATGAGACCACTGAAGGGAAAAAATGAACTTTTTTTTAACCTTTGTATTTTTAAGCATTCCCGAGCTATTAGCACTGACATGTATAGTTTTGTCGGGTTTCATGTCACACCGACATTAAGGCGACTTTCCATCTTTATTGTTGGAGGTTCACTTAATGTACACAATTTCAGGCACTGGTCCGACTGGAGTAGAACCATTGCACTTCTGTAAGAGAAATGAACTGAAGTCCTTGGTTGTGTCGAGCATCATATGTGCTGCGGCCCCGCTAAGGCTTTCTGCTTATTACTGAGGTTAGCGTTATAACGGGCTGCAGTGTACTAAGCTTTATTGAGTTTGACAGCTTTTTGAAGACGGTGGTGTTTTTAATTCAAACAGTAGTGTTCAACCTAAATATGTTTATACGATGAAAAAGCGCCCATTGATTCAGATGAAATAAATCAAAGTTTTCAATAAATTATGATCCGATTGTCCGTAGACAACTTGAGTTTCAATTGTTAGATAATTGTACATAAAGTAATGTTCCTGTCTTCGTTGATTTCTCTAAAAAAAAACTTTACCTTAGGTGGAAAAATTCCGGATTTGCTTCAACTTTTAACTCATTGCTGGTCTCCGCCATTTTTTTTTTGTATTGGGGTAAACACTGAGGACATCCGCAAATAAGAACGCAAAATTGATGACGTTTGACACATAACAAATAAGTAATAGCAGCTGATCATTTACTAATTTAGATCAAACACAAAGAAATCGCAGGTAAAGGAAAAGTTTGGAATAAAATTGTTACCCATTCGTTAATCTCATTTGCTGGTTTGTTTATCTTGTTTATTTTTTATGACCTAATATTCTATTAAAGTATCAAATTTAACATTTCTAATAAATTTTTCTGTTGATGAATGTTGTTATTGAATATTGTTTATACTCAACATCACTAATTCCGCGTCATCACTTATCTCACGGTAATGGCATATTTTCATGTGACCAGTGTTAAAATTGGTCAGAATTGACATATTTTATTCAAACACCTTAACAACAAAGTTTTTGTGCAAAATAATTTAAATCTATAGATTTTTACGTAAAACTGAACAACATTTTACAAACTTCTGCAAAAAACAACAATAGTCCATTAAATTTGTGCATACGTCTGAAACAATCATCATTTTCTAAATGTTCTTGTTTGTTGAAAAAATAAATTTTGAGTTACAATGTAAAAATACTTTTAATATTTAAAATTATGCAAAATAACTTAAAGAAATTTTAACTGAAACATGAAAAATCTGAAATAAAACACCATTACCGCGAGGTAAATGATGACATACTGTTTTCAAAATGGCCGACACACGGTTTACATCTGACAAATTAAAACTAATTTTGATTGAATATATTGTTGTTTCCTTGTGTCATATAGCAGAAAAAATGACTAAATGATACATTTTATGACAGTTTTTGTAGTGTAAGTTTATTGTTTGTGTTCTTTACTGTTTTAAAGTGTTAAGTACCGTGAGTTAAGAGGAGCACAGTATATATTTCTTAAACTTTAAAGCGTATGTCAAGGTTCAGAACTTTTCATTTTTTAAGGGAGATGATCTGTAAGCGCCAGACTGCTCAAAAATTAAGTAGAACAGCGGTACAGTTAGTCCAACTAATTAGACTTGTCAAAGAGACATTGTGATAATTTTGACGGTTGATGTCTTTTAACCGTTTGACAGTATGAAAAAAAATTTGTAGAATGGTTAAAATTGTTCATGCCAAATTAATTAGGCTACGGTACGGTATTCTGACAGTCCAGGTTTTGACTGAATCCGGGTCAGCTCGGCCCTAAAGACGTACTCGGCCCCCGAGTCAGCTCAGCCCTATTCCAACTCGGCACGGGTCAACCCGGCCCACTTTTCAATTTATGAATATTTCGGTTAGTGTTATCAAAATTTATTGTAATTATTTATAATACACGGATTGACAGTTTCCAAACTAGCAGACGACAGGCTTTTCTTATCAGTAGAATTGTGAGTAAAGATAACCGATTGCGTATCTCACTATATTTCTGACTCGTGGTATTTTTAACCGTAAATTTAAATAACTTCAGTGTCAAACAATGTGTTGAAATATATATTGTTGCGGGCTATTATTATCAATCAGTGTGTATCTTAAGGATACTGATTAATTAGGTGATAATTATAATTGACTCATTCATTCAAATTTGATTAGTGACCACCTGCAATTAATTAGAAGCTTAAGATATTTTATTTTTGTAAACACTTTTTTGTTTCATTTTTTTAAATATTACTTTACAAACAAAATGCATCTAAGGAAACACATTTTTATTAGATCTATATTAATTTTATGGAATCTGCAAGACAAATAAATAACAATTTTTTTTCTAAATGTACTTTATTTCGGCAGAAGTACAATGTATAATTATATAATAATAAGATATTTCTCATTATTCATTTACCTTAACAACATGCAAAGCAAAGTTAATACGTTATATATATTTTTTGTAAAGTGGGCCGAGTTGACCCGTGCCGAGTTGGTATAGGGCCGAGTTGACTCTTTTCCTTTTGACTCCTGGTCAGGCAGTAGTCTAGTACTGGCGTCCAATTAACTTTATATGTCCCTTTTTTAAAAAAAATTCTGGTCAAGCAGTACTATAAAACCTGTAAGGTGAAGTCTCTGAGTAAGCTAGCTGTAGTATAGTCAGGCTTCACATTTTTCTCAACCTGTGACACTTGAGGCTTTAACTGGATATAGCGCAGAGACAGAGTTAAATAAGCATTGCTCAGTAACCCTGAGAAATTCGGGGACAAATTTCAATATAGCGGGAGAGTATGTCACAGATCAAAATTGTTCACTAAAGAAGCAGCCGGATAGCTCAATCGAGAGAGCTAACACACTTTATTCCGAGGGTCCCAGTCCAGATCAGGCTTCACATTTTTCTCACCCTATGACACGTAATATATGTGGTATATAGATCCACTTATCATGTATGATTAACTTAAACATGTGACATTGTCTTTATTATTAGACATAAATGTTTATTTATCATTCCTTCCTTCCAATTTCTCTTTCCTTTTAATATTTCGAATAATGTCATTAATTGTGTTTATGCGTGTGTCCTCGGGAGAAATCATGCGTACACAGAATCCTAGCTAATAGAAACTCAAATATGTGGTATTGAAACATCCATACCAGGAAGGTGATATTATCTTCAGTTTTGCAGTTGTGATCATGGTGATTGCAATTGTACAAAAACTGCAGTCATTGCTGTTTTCCTGGAGTGCACAGTTTGTAAAATTAAAAAAAAAACAAACAAAAAATCTTTTTTGGTAGGATATATTTTCCACTGTTGGTTTGAATCCTCACAGGGACTTTCAATTCTTTCATCCAGCTAGCCAGGGGTGTGGAAATCCTATGCCTGACTTGTGCAACTCGGAAATTATCTTGGCAAACAAGTAGATTTTTCTATTGAACTTTTCCATGGACAGGTAAAATCTGAGCCAGTAGAAGATACAGAATTCTGCATTTCTACCTCTTATTAATGAGGAACATTCATTCTAGTACATGTATGTTCAGATTTAGTAAGCACCAAAATGAAGATTTTAAGTTAGGAAATAATTTTATTGTCTTATACAATTTGTAGAACGTTTCCTCAAACTGCAGAAATTAAATCTGATCTTTACATTGTGAAATAGATCTGTTCACACCTTTAAATACAATGAAATTTAGGAAACTATTACTTCTCATATACTTTTATTAACATCTGGGCAAATAAAGTTATGCTGCCTGTGGACAAGTAAAATTCTTACCCAACAGGTCGGTGGGCAAGTGCAAAAATTCATATTTCTACACCCCTGAGCTAAAGCTTACGGAACATTGGTGGTTCTACTCGGGTGCTGACTTACATGTACTTAGCTGAAACAACTCCTGTTTTAATATGGCATTATTTATTTCAGATCTTTCAGGCACCAAAGCTACAAATTACATCATACTATAAAGTTGTCAGTAATAAAACATATCACTGAAGCAAGTGTTCACGGCATGAAGTTGGAAACACACGGTGGTGACTGATGTTTAATCAAAGCACGAATCTGGCGGACGGAAAATTACCTGTGTTTGTATTCCCGACTACCCTGAGCTTCTACTCCGATGACCAATCCTCGCATAAGCAGGTCCTTACTCTGTACAACCCATACGAGTTCCCACTCAAATTTAAAGGTAAAATTTTAAAAAAAAATCTGCTTCATGGTTTACATGTAGAGAATGTGAGTCATTTAGAAGGCATATGTGGCTGATGTTTGTCAATCCCATCTCATCATGTAAGACAGCTGTTGAAGGGTGCAAAGTATTAAATGTATAAAGGCTCTGTATTTCTCTTAAAACAAGTAGGTTTTGTCGGCTCATGTAAGACAGCTGTTGAAGAGTACAAGTACTAAATATATCCAAGCTCTGTATTTCTCTTAAATCAAGTAGGATAAGTCAACTCATATAAGACAGCTATTGAAGGGTACAAAGTACTAAATGTATCCAGGTAGGAATAAACATAACATATTTATTAGGGTCTTGCACCTTGCAAGTCATTTACCTGGAAGTAACAAGAGTAGTACTTATGTAATAACTGTGATAAAAACATTGTCATCACACAAAACAGGAGTCAAACCCATGGTCCAGAGGCAAGTTTATCATTACATTGGTCTGTATGCACACTTTACAGGTATTCAGTTATGTCGAAAATAGCGACAGCTTGTGTGTTATTTCACCATTCAAAATTAGCTCAAATTACATGACAAAAATTGTGCACATTAGTTTGTTAAACATTCTAGAATACAAAATTTCCCAATTTAAATAAGCAATTTTACTAAAGGTACATTATCTAAGATATTCTTTGTAATTGTTTTTAGAAAATAAAGTAAAAGACTGAAAAATAGTGTCCTTGTAATTTTGAGGTTGTCATACAAAGATTTAAGTTAAGGAAACATTTATCCATATTTAAGATTTTTCATTGGTAAATTTTTTTTTGCATATATATAAATGTAAAGTTTTATGAATCATGTTTTGCTTTTTTTCCCTGCTTTCAGTACTATGTACAGTACCTCGTAAATATACAGTGGTAGATGCAGAGGGTACAGTCCGACCAAGATGCTGTGTCGATGTGTAAGTCTGTTTAATATTACAGCTGTTTAATATTACAGATTTTTTTTTCAGTTTTCAAAACCTTGGAAACATACAGCATGATGAATCAGAAACGGGAGAAAATCTGAATTTATCCACACATTTTTGATTTTTATCAAATTTTCAATTTCAATTCAATTTAACAAGCATGGTATGTAGGATAGGCTGTCAATAGGGACAGCTAACTCTCTGTCTTTCAGTCAATAAAATTAATCATCTAGCTGATAAGTCAGCTTCTTTTAAGTTATTGATCTAGTGTAGAATGGTCACATGTCATTTCAGGTGAAAATGTAGCATTTTTAGGGGAAAATTATTATATTTACTATTTCAGGCTGGGGAAACAGAAACAGCCTCTATTCGGCTGTAAAACATAGGGGGGGGGGGGGGGTGGGGGGGACACTGAATATATACAAAATTTTATACATTTGTAGTAACAAAAAAATCCTATAAATCTGCAAATCCCATGCCACCAGTATAGCAGTATAGAGCGTCGCATGCTTACTCACTTGTGTCACCTGGCTTGGCTCTAAATTTTGTTGCTGAGTCAGAGAAATTCATTTGTTGTTCTCAATAATGACAGTAGATCCATTAGTGTTGTTTATTTAGTATTGTTGTTGTGTAATCATCTATATTATATTTCAGTGTCGTGAGACATACAGATATTTGTATCAACAATGAAGGAGTGAATGACAAGTTTAGAATACAGGTCTCTGAACATGGACAGAGAAAGATTCTAGGTAAACTTCCCATAATATTTGTTGTAACAAAATGGTTTTACCCAGAAATTGCTGAGTGTGTGAAATGGACTTGCCCTGATCTGCTTTTAATTGGATCATTCCATTCAAGGTTTAAGGGGCTTCAGCATCAAAATACAAAAACAGTATAGAGCCTGGTCAGACTGCCTCTATACTGGTGACACATGTTTATATTTTGTTGGTTTCAGAAGGTTAACTGTTTATATTTTGTAAACAATAAATTGAAAGATTTAGAGGGGGAAAAACACATCAAAACCCCAGGTCATTTATATATTTAATTTGGGTATTATATACGCTTCATCAGATTATGACTTTTAACTACAAAAATTAGACTTAAGTTACTAATAAAGATTGTACAATTTTAGTCTGATGTTACTTAAAATAGGAATTTTGTTACTATTTATAGTTAGATATTGGATATTAGCCAAATTAATTGGCATTGTTCCAGAATTGTTGAATGTTACATGTTTATATTTTGTTAAAACATATCAAGGTAACATTACTTCTTTTGTTAGAAAAATTAATGATACAATTGTACATATAGATCAGTAATTATTCTATTTTTAGTAACAACCCATGCCATTTTAACAGAAAAAATGTTTTCATGGTAATAATGAACAAATTGGGAAAAACATAAAATACCTATTAAGATAGACTTCTCAACTCACTTTTTTCACTTCATAATGGCATTATGCACAATTTTAAATGTTATTTTTAATAAGTGGCTGTGTATGCCTAAAAGCTGCCAAGAGAGGACAGTAGGGGGTGAAGGATGGGGTGGTAGTACCCCAGTTAAATGCCAAGCATCTACATTGTTCATTTGCGTATATTTAATCATGTTTAATATAAATTAGTTTTTTTAGCCTGTAAAAGTTAATTAATGTATAAAGATCCTGTGATATCTTCATCTGTACCTGTGATGGCCTTTTTTCAGGGAAGAAGGATGTCAATGCTGTCTTGTTACCTACAAAGGGTCGGGAAGTCACCCCGAACAGGGAGGACAAGTTTCATGCTCTTGCCCATTCGAGTCAAGGACCTGACATACAGGGTCAATCATATACAGATTCAGGTAAATATTTCATCATTGTGGACATGTACATGACAATACATGTTTTATTAAAATGCTATTTGATCTTCATCAGACAATTGTGAATTTTTTATACAACTGATTCATATATTGAAGTTTATATGTTTTACTGGGCCATGTATGTTGCTACCTGCTAAAAAACTAGATAAATAATGATAAATGAGCCGCGTCATGACAAAACCAACATAATGGGTTTGCGACCAGCATGGTCCGCAGTCTGATCAGGATCCATGCTGTTCGCTTACAAACTCTAAAACAAGTAGAGAAACTGATAGCGAACAGCATGGATCCTGATCAGACTGCGCGGATGCGCAGGCTGGTCTGGATTCATGCTGGTCACAAACGCATTATGTTGGTTTTGTCATGACGCGGCTCATATCTTTTTGTATGTATACACAGGTATAAACAAAGTATACTTCTTTATAATTATTATGTACATACACTGTAATGTCAACCTTGTTTTAGATGGTCCAACTTCTAGGTAAAAACTTTAAAAGTTATTTGTTAAATCCATAATCAGGTTAAAGTTTAGACCAGTATGACAATTATACAAGTACCTAACTTCATTGCTTGGAATTCCACAATGATGAGTTATGTCTTGAGTGATCATTTGTTACTGTTTTTATAAATACGCACTACAGACTGATTTTGAAAATTCTACGGAAATATGCAAAAAACTTATGTTTTTAGTCATTTTTTGATAAATAATGTTTTCTGCACATAAGCTTTCTTGCTGCTAGTTATTCATAATAACTTTCATCATTGTGGACATGTACATGACAATACATGTTTTATTAAAATGCTATTTAATCTTTAAATATTAAATAATATATTTTATATAATATAGAATATTTAAATTCTGAATTGTGTAGACATTATCATTTAATTATATTTCATAAGCATGTTCAGTGATTTTTGTGCTTATATAACAGACTCCGATAAAAGGGCTCTTCCCAATCTAAATTTTCTTTTAAATCATGCAGTTTTTCCAAAAATCTGAACTTAATAGCTTTTTTACTTCCCAAATCAGCAAATTTTGCGATAATTTTTCCCAAATCAAGGAACTAAGGCCTCTTCCAAATTAAGTGAGAAAATCACTGTTGTTATGAACACTAATTATAGAGAATCCTGTCTGTTATGTTAGGACAAATATTTCCTTGATTTATTTCAGATGTAAGAAAGCGTCCTGTTGGTGGTCCTAGTATAGTTGTGATTCTAGCTGGTCTGGTGTGTATTGTGGCGCTAATGTTACCCCAGCAAGGGGATTCCGGCTCAAGATTACCAGATTATATCCACTTATCTGTCAACCAAAAGCTTATAGCAGCTTATGTTTTAGGTAAGATTATGTGCTTCAAACTAGGTGGCTCATCTGTGTCGAACAAAAGTTCGAGCCGATATGATAGCTGCAATATTGTTGCCATTGTCATTGTTATTGATCTAAAAACTTAAATGTAGCCAATTATTCAAACGTGTTAAAAAATACCAACATGAAACTTTAAGAGCACTTGCTTATTGTGACAAGGTGCAGATTATAGACAAGGGGCATAAGTCTGAAAGCAATATTTTTGGAGTTATGCCACTTTTGCAGAGTTTTAACAGACAAGCGTTAAAACTGCATGCACTGCTCCTGTTTTACATTTAAATGAGTTTGTGCTTAACATTATTCTGTTAAAAAGGTGAGTACAGAAGACTGTCTAGGAGTTACTATTGATAAAGCACATTCAATTGATTTTTCTAGCTCTTTTTTTTTTAGCTTCTGTTTTCAAAGAAATAATGTAGCTTTTGTTAACACCCCATTGTCTGAGTCTGAATGGACAACGTGTTTGGTTAACCTTTCAGGTATCATTAATAGTCATAAACTTTAATTCTAAAAATGCTATTACTTTGAAATTAAATATGTGAATGTACACCTTCACCTGTCACACCTATGTTAATTTCAACGGTCAAGGTCACTGATACCTGTAATAGCAAAACATAAAAGCCACATGTATCCTTAAGTCAAAGTGCATTCACCTGGAAACTTTTATGTAGGTGCACCTTGATTAGTCTACCCGCCTGTGGTCATATCTATTTTGGGTCAAAAGGTCAAGGTCACTGTGACATTTTAAATTTGGTCAATTAATCAGACATGATTTTTCAAGTTATATCTTCATTTAAATAATATGCAGTGTACTCTCCAGGTCTGAGAAAAGTGGAGTGCGCTGCTCCTGGGCAACTTGTGTTTTTTCTGTCATGGTTTTGCAAAAGTAGTTGGCAGTAATTTCATCAGAAGCAAGCTACTACATATATTGCTAGCCATTTTGGAGAGCTTGATTTATCAAAGGTCATTCACCTTTTGACTGTATGTTTATTGCAGATATTTATCAGGGTAAATGTCATAAAAGTTAACTCTTAAACTTACAGTATGTCTAAAAATGGGTGCCATTTTGGAATAGTCAGTCTTATTATCAAGTTAAAGGAATATCAAGATGTAAATTTGGAGTTAATCAGCCAACTGTATAAAACCTGGTCAAACTGCACGGACATGCAGGCTGGCCTGACTCTATAACTGTGGCAAAGGCTCAAGATTCGCTTTTGGTTCCAGCATGGTAAATGTTGATTTGGATATTTTTGTTCTATATTTCAGGTCTGGTGACGATGTTAATTCTCCACATATGACAGTACTGACAATCTAGATTATCAAACGTAGATATTGTGATATAACTGCTGACATAGACAGTTTTTATACGTTTAAATCTTCTTTTTAAAAAATCAGCGAACTAAAAGTGCCGGACTACTTGTACTTACTGTAGCACCTAACATAACATCATGGACTAGGAGAAACAGGTTGAGTCTCTATCATAGGAGGTCGTAGTGAAACTGAAATACTTTTACTGCTCAATAAACAAAGGAAAATAGCAAAACAGTCCAATTCCTGAAATAAAAATAGAATGTATTAGTGTAAGCTGATCAAAAAAATGAAGTAGTGTAAAATACAATGTGCAATTATTCATTGATGTTGTTTGCTTATTATACCTGACATTTTAATATGATATGCTTCCAGTTAAATTATTATTGATTTAAGCTTATATATGTAATTTTAATTTACTATGATATTACACCAGTAAATGAAGAATGTCTTAACTTATTGTATTACAGTGATAATATGTCAATGGTTTTCACATCTACAATTGCTTATTAAGTAATGCATTACAGTGTCGATACTTTTCAACATTTATGTAATAAGAAAGTGGGTGGTGGTGAATGTCTATACAGATTCTTATAGTGTTTTTGTACCTGTTAAAGTCTTAACCTTCAAAGCAGGATGCCTCCAGGTTCATTCTATAGTCTAAAATTAGTATATTTCATAACGATTTGTATAGCAAGAAGTCAAGTATGGATGACAGGATTCTTCATGGTTTTAACATATATGTGACTGAATAATGTGATATATTTAAGATATTAAATGCCCATTTTTATGTTAGATGTGGATTTTATTGTATGTTATATAACAGTTTAAGTTATATAACACTCTAAGTTAAACTGTTATATAACAGTTTAAGTTGTATAACAGTTTAAGTAATAACAGTGTCCTTATCAACAGAATATTATTCATGGGGTACAGTTACACAGCAATCACTATAACTGTGTTGAAAGTATAGGTTTATACAATGCTTACCTTTTTAACCCTTAATCTTCTGAATTTATGATAATAGATTTGCCCGGCTTTGTATTTAGGAACATTCCATTCAAATTTTGAGGGATTTCAATTTGAAATACAAAAATTAGTCTATTAACAGTATTGAGCCTGGTAAGACTGTATGGATCTGATTGCACTGATTTGCCAGACTCAGTACTGGAGACAAAATCACCTTCTGTTACCACAGAGTAAGGATTAACACTAACATAATTTAATGTTTCAGTTTGTAAAACATTAACAAGACTTATTTCAACACTGTCTGTACTCTTTACAGTTTGTTTTTTTGTGGGTTTTTTTTACCAAGAACATGTAATGCATGTTTTATATAAAGATTTTACTGGTTTTATTTTTCAGTAATGTTTTTTATCAGAAGATTTGCATAAGTTATTATTATTATTTTTAAAGTTTTATTTAAGCTTTATTCACTCATTGGTTTATTAAATCTTCTGAAGGTGAAGAAAGATCGTTGCTAAATACAATGTGCTTGACTGTTGTGTGTTAGCAACTTTTCAATAAACAAATATTGCCAGAAATGTCGAAAAGAATGAAAAGCTGTGGCTTATTACATTTGTTGTATTTTTCATAAAGAAGCTGATAATTTCTTAGTCACAAAATTTGAAATTTTAATATTAAAGCAGCAATTGCCTCCAGATTCATGCTAATTTTCATGAAACTTTTAAGAATGTTTTTCGAAAAATAAATACGGTTAAGAGAACAAAGACGATAATTTACATATTGCAAACAGAGCTTACAATCCATGTAAATTACCAAAAAGAGGTCAAAATATGCAAAAATAGCCCTTACTGTGTTAGTCATGTGATAGAAATATTTTGATAAAAATGCTGCAAAATCATTTGTCATTAATCGCACATAACATGTAAATTATTACTAAAATCTTTTTACTTTACTTAAAATGTAAATTCAGTTATCTCGAGTTTGATTTCCTTGAATTATTTTCATTTATCAGTGGAGGCATACGGCTTAAAAATGATTGTTTCTAGCTAATTCACGAATTCGAAAACCTAGCTTAACGCGGTTTTCTGGTACTTTCTGTACATAGCTTTGGGGAATTCTTTTTGTTTCTTTGTAAGAAAATAATTAAAATTTAATATCATTATATGAATAACTCCATACACAAAAATACATTAAATACACAAGTTTACACAGAAAATATATTTGTAGTTCATAGAAGATGCCACAACGACTTTTTTGATTTTATTGAATTTCATTATAAACATTTTATTTTTTCGAAAAATTTGCAACAGATATTAAAAGAATATTGATAATTTTCAAACACATCAATTTTTTTTCACCTTAAACGGTAAAAAATGAAAGAAAAATAGAAATATCATGTAAGTGTGTACTTCATTTGTTCGGACTTCATTTGGTGTGATTCCTCAGATCTAAATCAGTAACGTACAGGAAAACGGTGTTTAGCTAGGTTTTCAAAAAGGTCAATGGTGCTTTAGGTGTACGTGTTATATCTATTTATGTATGTATTTGGTATAGTCCCAGTGATTAATCTAGAAATTCCTTACAATGCGTCGGATGACGCACATGTTTGAAAACAATGAGTCCTGTAGCAAAATCAATGAGTCCTGTAGCAAAATAAATGCGTCTTAGCAGAATTTTTTTTTTAATAGCAGATCCCTTGACATGATTTGCATGTTTATTTAACAAGCGATTAAGTAATTAAAGTGTATAAAAAAAAGTTATTTTTGGTACTTATATTAATTGCAGGCAAAACAATTTTTATTGGCTGCTCAAAAATCTAATTTGCATAATTTATATTTTCTTACTACTTTTGTCTAATACTGTGCATTATCCATTTTAATTGTTCGTAATTTGCACAAAAATGTCCCTATCACACTGTATACATACTGACGACTTTTATTGCTCCTTGTATGCCTGCCTCTGTGTAGAAAGCATACACAGACAGACCTTTTGATCATGAAAAAAAGTCATGCACAATGTTTCCCCGATTGGTTAATCACCCTGTCAAATATTCTGATGACGTAATAGACATCACACTCCACGTGAACTTGAGTGACCTTAGGGGAAAGTATTACACACCTGTCAGATTATACTGTAACTTACAGCATTTCTTAAAATAGCAACACTTTTTTTCAGTTACCGATAATTATTTAAAATATTATTAAGTAGATTAATGATTTTTTGTTTGCTTTATTGGATTAAATTTACGGTAGTAGAAATGCGTATCTGTGTGGGAAAGGGATTAGGTAAGTAGATAACTTGGAAAAATGCTATAGGGAAATGGATAAACTCAAGAATATGTGTAATTACAGGGGAATGGGCAACCTGTTGCTGTTGGTTCCAGTTTTGTCTGGATGACTAAATAACATACAAAATAAGTCTGGGACAGATTTTAGATGCGCCTTTGGCCTTTTGCTGACGATTTTCCTGTGCCCTTCTCATTTTTAGCGCCAATGTCTGCATATTTCACCATTGTAGGTGATTGCTCTCATGCAAAATGGACGCTCTGATTGGCTAATGCCGATAATGGGCTGTTACCGATCACAAGCAACAATTGCTTGGGATTTAACGTTTCAAGCAAATGGGGGATTAGTCTTGCACCTGTTATTATCGGAAATTAAATTATTCAACTGAAGAAATTGAAAAATTATATAACTAATGAAATTAAAGTAATCGAACGGTACATAGAAATCACTTGTCGTGATATTTTGGATTATAAACTACCTGATTTGCATGCGTCAAATTGAACGCACATATTTTGAAACTGTGCGTCTTTTTCGATTTTTATGCGTATTTTACGCAAGACGCACATCTAGATTAATCACTGTAGTCCATTTTAGATCAACAGCTAGTATGTTATATACTTGCCTTTATCATTGTGTACTAGATAATGTGTTCAGTGTATTTTTTTTTTCACTTTTAAGGAAATGGTGGCAGGGCAAATACATGAAATAGAAAAGGGAAAGTTGTGTTGCAGAGGGGAAAATTAAGTAACTGATAAAACATGTTTGTTTGTTTTTTATGTTAAATTGTTAATGTTTCCATCAATTTTTTAAAACTTCAATGTCCATAATGATATCATAAAATGTATCTATTAAAAAAACAAACAAAATAACCCAAATGTTTTTTCTTTTGCATTGTGCTTTTGAGATGGATTTTTCTTTTCAGAAATAGGGGAAATTATACATGTATACTTCTTGGAGAAGGAAACAGGGTCGAATTTCAAGGGCAAATTGACCTTGATAAAAAGGACTGGAGATGTTTCTCCACATTATGCAACTTTTCCTTATTTTAACATAATGTAAATGTGTAAGGAATCTTTTGTCATTGAAATGTATTAGAAATATTGATGTTATGGGATATGCAGAATTAAATTAACATTTACACAGTTATAGTTTTAAATACTGTATTGTTCTTGTTTTTTTTGTGTAAAAAAAACATAGTAACTTTTAAATTAAATGGATGAGAAATCAAAATTAGTCTGTGCCAACAAATTAAGTGCATGGTTCTGAAATACAATGTATAAAAATTGTTCTAGTAACAGTATTGAACCTGGTAAGACTGTATGGATGTGATTGTACACATGTGCAGGTTTGCCGGGCTTTGTACCGGAAGCAAAAGCTTATAGCCTTCAGTTCCAGCAGAGTAAAGATTAAATTTTGATTTCTGATCCATTTATTTCTTTTTGCACCTCTGAACTGAATTATATTTATGTATGCTACCTTATTTTTGTTATTTATTTATTGTTTTTATTGCTATAGAAAAAAATACATTGAACTTATTGAATTTTCTTAAATGGACTTGTCCAGCTCTCATTTTTGATATTGTCATTTTAGAGATATGAGCCGCGTCATGACAAAACCAACATAATGGGTTTGCGACCAGCATGGATCCAGACCAGCCTGCGCATCCGCTCAGTCTGATCACGATCCATGCTGTTCGCTATCAGTTTCTCTATTTGTAATAGGGTTTGTAAGCAAACAGCATGGATCCTGATCAGACTGCGCGGATGCGCAGGCTGGTCTGGATCCATGCTGATCACAAACGCACTATGTTGGTTTTGTTGTGACGCGGCTCATATCAAGATGAAAAGTTTGAAATAAGCCAGCTAACAATGTAGGGCCTGGTCGGAGTGCACAAGTGTTGTCAGGCTTGACTCTATACTGGTCCGTGACAGGCTAATCACTTTCGGTTCCTAAAGGGTAAAGGTGGCCAAGATAAA